GCTGGTTTATATCCGGGCGCAGGGAGAGTGGGGGGCTGCTGTGCTGCTCCCGCTAGTGGCCTACATTAATAAAATATTAATAACGGTTTAATCGACTAGTATTTCTCTAACCTACTCGCGAGGGTAGCCACATATCATGTCTGTTTGTTCAGATTTAACTCGAGTTATAACTGATGTGCAGGCAAATTGCAGCAGTGATGCTTTTTAAATACCTTAACTGCCTCAGTGAGCTTCTGCTGCAGCTTCCAAATGTTGATCGGCACCAAATATATCTACAATAACCAACTTCCTGTTGTTTTTACAACATCGACGCTGCTCACAATTTGAAAACCGCAGCTTTATTAGCTGCAGAGATATGACAGGAAATGAAATCGAAAACAACTTGAACAAATATTGTGGTTCACGGTTGGCACCTTTTTTTTTTTATGCACCTACTTTGCTCCTACAGTTGGATGTCTGAGCTTCACTGTGCAGAATGATGGGTTTTAAGGGGCGGATCCTGGTCCATGCAACGTATACACGTGTGCACATACACTGAGAATGGAGATTTACAGTGAAGTAGGAGACAGCAGGAAAACTTAAGATATGAACAACATTAGCATATTCATAGATTATGTAATTTTTAAAGAGGTAGAAGGAAGTAGGTGAATTTTTAAAGGTTTTAATGTGGAAATTATACTAATTTTTGCAGAAGAAGATCAACAAAAGTTTGTTCTAATTCTGTTGTTTTTTTGTACAACTCGGGTCCGATATTTGTCGTTTCGGCCTCCAACATCTGGGAACACGGTGATGTTGCTAAAACCAGCGGTCAGTCAGGTTGAAAATAAACTCAACCCCAAGTTAGACACACTTATATGTGGAAGAGAAAACCAAACTGTCCGTTGGAAGCATCCATCACACAGACTGACTGACTGGTTCAGCTTTGACCTCCTGTACTTTTGCCATGTTTCTGTCATACGGGAGGTACCATAATTACAAGTTTACGATATATACATACCATTCACGTCGACATCCAAAGAGGACAGGGCGATAAAATAAGAGCTCGCATTTTCCAAGTTTTTGGACAATGTATGATTTTCATCTTATTGTTTGTTTGTTTTTTGCACAATGCAGAAAAACATTATTGAAACGTGTTTTTTGTACACATTTCACACAAATACATATTATAATTACAACTAGACTACAGACTACTACAGGAAGTGTCTTTAAAAAGCAGACTAACATGAATGAATCCCATCAGTTTAAGCCCTACTTTAATGATATTTAACCCAATTTTAAATAGATATAGTGCTATGTTATCAATGCACAGTGTTTTCTAACTCTGACACTGCGTTTCTTCCCTGTTGCACTTCAGAAATTGACTTACTGAGCACAATGTTATTACTACAAAAGCTCCAAACTCCTTTAAACAACAGGAACAACAGAAAACGTCACCTGGAATCAACCTGTTCAACAAAAATTGGGAGCATTCAGTGTTCATCAGTGTCTGCTGACGGTTTTCTGTCTCGTCTGTCAATCGTGTCACTGCTCGCTTGTTCCTGATATAACGCTGATACGGGCAGGTTTTAATGTTGTGTGGCAGCTGCTGCTCCCATCCTTTGTGTTAAGGCTTTTTTATTGTATAGACT